ATTCTAATAACTATAATATATAAAAGATATAGAAGTCTGTCAATGATCATTACATTAGCATCTGCTGCTAAGACGTATCTTTAGAAGGTCTGTAAGACTTCTAAAATTTACAATACTTTTATAAATTGTCAGAGTATACAAGACTTGAGTGAGAATACAAGCTCTTACCAGAGTTGCTCAAACAATAAATGCTTCATACAATAATCATTCTTTTTTATCATTATTGAATTAGAAAACAAATATATTATACTTGAGTAAATAATTACAGGCAAAAGTATTTACTAGAACTACTATTAAATCCTGTACTACTCTTATTTCTTCCACTCATACCCACATTGCCTCCCATAGTTCCTCCAGAAGATCCACTGGGCTGTCTGGCTGAAGAAGCGCCTCCAGAACCTGAGGGCCTCGGCCCTTCATCATCGTCGTTGTCGTCATCATGAGCACCATTGTCTGGTTGCTTGCTAAAGTCAGCTGGATGCTTAGATTCTTGTTCCCCGTCAAACTAGTGAGAAAAAGTCATGCCAGAACATTACGACAATACAGGTCGACCAAACCGGACGCGTGATGTATGGATAGGGGGACAGGGAGCGTGCCGATCAGACAGACTGTGGAGGTGATAGTAACGGGAAGTGTGAGCGGACGCGTGCAGGTGTCGTGAGGGACCAAGGAAGCCTGCGAAGGCCGTGTAGTGAAACACAATGCAGGCGAGATGTACGGCTGTGCGGCCGGGTGCGGAGGGCAGGAGCAGAAGAACGGTAGCGAGAGAGGATGGATAGATAGACCGCAGTGACCGCAATTTAGCGTGGGGGGCAATATGAGAGAGTGGTGCATTGGGGGCGATCATCGGACATACAGGGGTCGACGTGTCCATGGGCGGCATTGCATCACATCACACATTACACAGTTCGTTTGGGGGGCCACAGTAAAGTCCACAAGGGAGAGCGCGAGAAGAGCGGGCGAGTGTCAGCAAGCAGTCACACAAAGTAAACAAAATAAAATGTAAAAAGAAATAGGGATAAAATAATGAGTCAATGGCTGGCGTGAAGACTAGGAGAAAGGGGCCAGCTGCGGTGACCAGCGGGCGGGGCGCATGGCAAAGAAAGGAAACACGAAAGACATGTACACACATGGATGTGTCGTTGGACCATGTTGTCGACGTCGGTCGAGCAGTACTCGTGCAGCTTCACATGGTGGCCGGCCCGTTCCTCTGCAGCGGCGTCGTCATCATTGGCGTCATCGGCCATCGGCATCGGGAGTTGCCCCCGGGGCGGTCAGGGCGCGTCAGACGAAGAGGGAATCGACATGCCGCCGTTGACATCGAGCAGGAAGATAGTGTTCCAAAAATGAGCAGGCAGGTGTGTGAGAACAGGG